ACCCCGCCCTTAAGGTATTTTTTGTTTGATTATACTTGTTGCTACTATTTACTGCTGTTGTAATATGCATTGCTGTTGCTGTCTGCACTTTACCCGTACACATGGCTGTCCTGGGAATAGTAGTAGCTGCTTAGCTTCTTAGTGTTTGGCCGTTTTACCTGTACTTGTTACTACTGTTCTAATTCTTGCTTAATGCTCCTGCTGCTTTTTCTCCCCTATGCGAGTATGGTAGTCCTCCTCCTCTAGCCGGTCAGTCAGCTGCTATTACTACTTTTGCTGCTAGTAGCTACTGCTGCTGCTACTTCATGTGCACCAGCCTTGACAGGTTCTCGTTCTGATCTGCAAGAAGACGTTTTTCTTCTGTTCTTTTCCATTTCAATGCCGAAAATAATTCTGCATGATCCTGCGCTTCAAGAAGACAGAAGCCAGAGTGGTGGGGTGGGGGGGGGTACTCCGATAGAAGGGAGAAAAGAAAAATGAGCTCGAGAGAGATTTCAGGCAAGAAAGAGTGCAGACAGATAGACCAGACCAGACCAGTTCCCCGCAGCCTCACGAATAGTCAGTTGTCGCTTCCGCGACTTCACCTGCATATACTCCACCACCATCGCCAGTCCCATTTTGCAATATCTATCACTTCTGCCGTAGCAGTGGTAGCTAATCCGGACCCAAAACTCGTCTCATAATACAAGGACTGCTTTGGGCTACCCATCCCCCCCTCCCCTCAGACACTTCCACTCCTGGAACTCGAATCGGTCCCCACTTGGTTGTGGCTCCTCTATCCGCCCAGTATCAACTCATCTGCCCTGTCACTTATTGCCTACTGTCTGTTAGCTACTGCTTCATTTTGATCTTTTGCTGGTTATTTTGCTATTGCTACTACTATTGAATCTCACTGTTGGCTGAGCAGTCCACATTTTTTCTGAATCTCCTGCTTCCTACTCCTGGCCTTGATCCTTATCTTCTTACTACTGTCACTAAGTATTTCTGCTACTACTTCCACTACTACTTCTACTACCACTATCACTCCTCCTCCTTCACCCTTTCACCCTCCTCCTCCTGCTCATACGTGGGCCCCGCCTTATTCTCAAACCCGGACCATCTATATTCATGCAAAGGCTACACAACCAGGCCCCGTGCCCACGCTCCACCCTCGTTCTACTCCTCGTCAACTGCAGATTCAGAAATTCGTCGACAGCCCGTGCGCCTATTCCGCATCTCTGGTTGTGCTAGTCCACCTTCGTTCATTCTTCCATTCTGTCCTCCTTCGCTTGATAGATTCCCTGACAACCGTTTGTGGGTCGTATCTCTGTCTCCGCTTTGACTTTCAAGTAATCCTCTACTACTATTACCTACATATAATATACCTTGACAACCACCACCCCCCAGCTTCTCTGTTTGAGAATTATCATCTTTACTCTTCGTTCTCTTCTCTTCTCTCTTTCATTCTTTCTTATTGGCTCGTCCTCTGCAACAATCCTCATACTGTTGCCCTACCATTCTTTTTTTTTTTTACTTAAACTTCTCTGTGCTGGGTCACGGCTGCTGGATCAGTACCTGTGAAGCTATTGTTGGCCTCCCGCTGGTCGTTCCCTCATTCAAACATTTCTCCATATAGACTTACCGTTGTCACTCATTTTTGCCGGTGGACGGTCTACTTGCCCGAATTACCCCAGCAGTCTGGCCCCAAAAAAGATCACCAACACTGATCCCCCTTGTTGCTACACCGATCTCAGTCCTTCGTCACTCTTTCTTGCGTCTCTAGGTACTACCTACATACTCCGTTGCACGCCCTACAAGCAGCCTGTCCGACTGTAGTACTGCTACATAGTTAGTCGTCCAGTCCAGCTTAACGGTCACTATACATACCGTGCCTTGCCCGCGCCACACACACACAAGTCTTCCTCCTCGCTCACCTGTCCTCCCGGGGCCCATTGTTGATCTACCTTGCCCATTCTTTTCTTTCAAATATTTTTGCATCTTTCACAATTATTCGGAGATCTCAACTCAATTACGTCAATAAAAAATTCTTTGCACCAGGCTCGACGCCATTCTTTGACACGCACGCACTTACACACGCCGGATTCCCGGAATTAACGAAACGAAGCACGAAAATACGGCCTGATCACAGAGACTTGGCGAGACGCAGGAACAGCTATAATACGAATTGCTTTTTGCCTGCAAATTTTGGGGCTATATCGACTTTATTTTATTTGCATCTTTTTCCCGAGTACTATTCAGTGATCTACTACTATCACTACAAATTTCGCTCTTATAGCAACATCTACCAAAAAGCACTCAGCAACCACATCTTGTTGGTTGTATAGACACATTATTTTTGATTCGTCAAAGTGCCTTCACTACTAAACACCCCTCCATACCGGGAAGATCGAGGATTAGAAGTTTGGGGCAATCCTTCGACCTCGAAAAACCACAGCTTTAATCAAATGTCAGAGTTCGGCGCAGACCAGTCCTCTGGACACATGCCTTGGAGGGAGCAACGCTTGGAGAGAGATACTTCATCCGTACTACACCAAGAGCAAGACGGACACCACCACCACCACCATCAATCACACAACCAACTACCACCTGTATATGAGCACTACAGTCCGGGACCAGTATCCGAAGCCGAAGAGTACAGGGAATGGCCTACCTCGGCGTCCCATGAAGAGCATATAGGCTCTCCCCATTCCTCAGCTGGATCAATGATTGACAGTCCACACTCACATCCTTCTTCACACTCAGAACATAGACATTCTGTTGATATAACTGGTCAGTCTTCCGGATCGCAAGGGGAACATCATATGTCTCTAAGCGAACGTCGACAAGAAAAAAGAAAGATGAAACGGTTTCGGTAAGAATTGATCTTGACTGCTTTGAGTCGCCCTAAGTGCGCAATTCCGGCTGACGCAAAACCTGGGGAAATTAAGTCTTACACATAACCAAACTCGCTTCCTCATGAGTGAGTTCGCCAGACAAGCGCATCCTGACGCAGCTCATCGGGAACGATTGGCTAGGGAGATCCCTGGATTAAGCCCTCGTCAAGTACAAGTCTGGTTTCAAAACAGGTAGGATTGTTCCTTGGTCTAAAGCTTGTACAACCGAGATTTGGTGACTAATGCATGTCTCAGGAGAGCCAAACTGAAACGAATGAGTAGCGATGACCGAGAGCGCATGATGAAGTCGCGCGCTTTACCAGAGGAGTTCCCAATTCTCCAAACATTGCACACATATGGTTCAGGTCGGATGATGGGGACGCCGATTGCCTCGCCTACAGAGTATTCTCCAACTACAAACATGGGCTATGGCCGGACCGATCCCCTCCGACGAAGACACCTTGGCGAAGAGGATGTTGTCGTATCGCCAACTACGCCAGGTTTTGCCGGGCTGTCTTTTACGCCCACAACTTCTTCTGGTGAACTACTGTCCCCTGTCTCTTCTACTGGGGAGCGTCCGTCGTATCTCGGGTACATGACAGCTCCACTTGGCCCCCAGCAACGTGGAAACCCATTTTCCCGGCCTACCGATCCCTTTCGCACCAGTGTGCCCCGCTTACAGCTTCAAGACATCCCACGTTCGATGTCAGAATCTGCTAGCTCTCCATTGAGATCTAGTACGCCCTATTCGGCAAATACTATCGATCACGGAGAATACCAGTTGAGCCCTAGCGCATACTCAATACAGGGATTACCCTTCAACGAACCTCCAAGAAGTGTTCCTCCAGAAACGCCTCACAGTCCATATGTGCACACGCCACAAGGTATGTATAAGCGTTATGTCTCGACCGCTGCTGCGATGCGATCGATCTTAGATCTGACCAACTAACCTTCCTGTCTAGGACCTTACACTCATCCTTATCCGTCACCAGCACCACCGTCTGGGCATCAGGCACGACCACCGCCAAGCTTCCCACCACCGTTGACCCTATCCGACTTTAAATACCCACAACCTCCCTTGACACCCCACTCTGGAACCATGTCTGGCTTCGCGACGGCACCTCTTGCCCCACCGCAAGAATTTCAGATTCCTCAAATGAGTGCACCTGCGGATGCGACCACATTTAGCTCGTCATACCTTAACAGAGGGACAGGATCAATAGGGTCGGCGGGCGCTCCCGGTGCTCCTCAACATGAGCAAGATTCAGACCGACCAGACAAGATGATACCCATGTTTGGCCGGGATTTCGGGCATCAGCGCAAGCGTTCATCATCACATCCCCCTAACTTTCCTCAAAACCGCGAGCCTTAGAAAGATGCAAGCAAGCCTGGAGTAATTTTTAGTTGTTCGATACAATACCCATGGATGAACAGGCAAAAGAGAGCCGGAAATTAAGGGAGGCATCAGATGTTTGCCTTTACTCTCACCTATTTAGTTTTCATTTATTTTTTCTATTATTTTCATCTTTGTCGGGACAACGGATAAACTTTTTATTTTTTATTTTCTCATCTCGTTTTTGTTTTGACAACCCCTGCCAAGTGATTTTTCATGTCTTCTTTCCTGTCTTCTTTCCTGTCTATACTCTTATTTATATCCTGTCGGGAGCATTGGACTCTGACGTTTCCTTTCTTGAGAGAAAGAGACGACGTTGAATCTATACCTTATGCGGCGGCTGGGCAGGTCGGGTTTTGCTCATACTTCTCTCTCTCTCTCTTTTTTCTTCTTTTTGGATGCTGCTATATAAGCGAGGCAAGCCACTGAAATATTGTATTTCTTAGTAGCTATACATGACTCCAACGGTTGGTCAGGACATATGGGAACTATGGGAATATGGGGGAATGGGAAACGGGATCGGGAATATGGGATATGGGATTGTATTTCAACAGTAGATAGATGAGGCATTTTCAATTGCTACATTTTTTTTTTTTTTTTTTTTTTTTTACAAAAAATAACTATATTGAATGAGTATATAGTTTCTTCTCATGCCGAGAATGAAATGGCGCTCTAGACTGGGGAGGCCTTGTCCTACATGTACTTATCGCAACCGCTTGTCTGTACCATGTGATTCATATATTATTCACTAGTGTTTTATCGTAATGCCTGAAATTCTTTTTTAAGCTTCGCTCAGGATTGCTAAATTTAATGCTCCCAATACCACGCACCTCACACCTCACACCTCGCCTCGTATGTCATAGACTACATAAAAAGAAAAAAAGAAAAAAGAAAAAAAGAAAGAAAAAAACAAGAATCATTGCATCCGAAACCACTGGTGGGGAAATAAGGAAACACAAAGAAATAAAGATCCTTAACATCTGGATCATGTCCAAAGCTAGCTCTATCAAGGAGTAAGACGCGTAACCAACCATTGTAGCGGGTCACTCACTGTTGTCTATCCCCTCAGAGCCCTTAGACGTTCGCCAAGTCTGTAACACCTTCCCATCAGCTCCACCCACAGAGAATAACATTACAAGACAGAAGTAACCATACCCATCCTCTTCCTGCTCGGTCGGTCCAATCTTTTGTTGCGAAGGAGTTGCCTCCGCAAACTCCTGATTAAGCTCCAGACCAGCTTCATCCGCGACCTGTCCCATGAGGCGATCCACATCCTCTTGCGGCGTAGCCACCGCCGTAGCGGAGGAGGTTGCGTTCTCATAATATCCGGTAGCGACCTCCAAATCCTCAAACTGGTTTTCAAATTTATCCATAATCAGGGATATCTTCTCGAGATTCATGGTCTTCATTGCGCTGTCCATGCCCTTTACGACGTTTGCCATGCTGCCCGTGACCTGGCGCATCGTGACGGCGGTCTGAACTCTGCTGGCGACGGCATCGATACGGGAGGCGAGTCGGAGCAGGTTTAGACGTTCGTTCTGCTTGCGGACGGCGTTCTGTGCGTAGACCTTTGCGATGTCATTGTTGCCTTGTTGCATTGCCTGTTTAAAAACCCAGAAAGTTTTTGCGCGAGCGGCGGGTTGTCCGTCAGTTTCATTTTTCTTTATTTTCTTTATTTCTTTTTCTTTCTTTTTCTTTCTTTTCAGATGATTGCCCTTTCGGTATAATTCAGAGGCGCAGGGGCCGAGGTTATCCGGGAGCCGGCGGCGAGCGGGTTGCGCACCTTCTTTATTTTTGCCTTCTCGGAGTTCTCATCTTTGCCGGCTTTGATTGCTTGTCGGTTCAGCTGTTTTGCTGTGAACTGTGCGGAAAGAAGAACGGTCAGTGCTCAGCGGCGCGGGGGGGGGGGGAGTCTGTATTGGAGGGGAGATGAGAGATGGGGGATGGGTTATAGGCAATAGGTGATGGGGTGGGTGCTTTGGAGGGGGGGGGGGGGGGGGTCCGTACCTTCAAGTTGAAGAGAGCCTTTTCGAGACCGCCAGACATAGCTGCAGCAGGTATAACTGTTACTTAGGCGGGTAGGCGATATGAGATAATATCAGGGGGATTTGTGGGAAGCTGTTGAACTGTGAGGACTATGGAGTTTGACAAGGGCGAATAGGTAGGATGTCGTTTGGGGGGGGGAGCTGTGGCTGTTGATCAGCTTGGTCGTCGTCGTTGACAAGGTCACCCACCACAACCACACCCAAGATCTGATAAGCGACGGAAGCGCTTGGCATGCGTGAGTCGAAACTTAACCCTAGCCCCACTAATCTAACCGACAGAAGACTACGTCGTCAGCGAAACAAATACATGTCTCACAATCCATTTCCCCACGTCGAGTACGAGGTACAGGTTTCTGCCCCCCCTCCCCCAACCGAGATCATAAAACACAAGCCAAGATCCCGATATGTCGTTTAGATACAGAGCTAGATAGAACCGGATGGTACTTACATGCATGCCCGTTCAGGTACAAACAATCAATAGCTCTGTTAGGCATAACATTCCAGGTCCAAACTCAGACACCAGTGCCAGAGTTCAGCCTAGAATAGAGCACCCAAGCAGGCACTGCGCTGGGAGTGGGGGAATTGGGGGGCAAAGACAAGACAAGACAAGATCAAGAAGAGGAAGAAGAAGCCACCTAACAAATCAACCACTCACAAGCTCTTTGGACCGCGGTTAATATCTCACCGAAAACCCACAGGTGTTTTTTTTCTTTCTTTCTAGAAAATCCATGTCCCATGCAGGTAGACCCATGTCTAGCGGTTGCGCCTACCCTACCCCAGAGAACGAACATGTACCGGTATGGTACGACATACGGGCGGGTTTTGGAAATGCCATTGACTGAGCGTATTTTTTGTCGTCTCTCCGAGTTTACAATTTTCAAGTCAACCACCCACCCGCCCCCCCTTTTTTTTTTCCTTCCTCTAGAAGATGTTTTGAAAGTCAAATATTGCTATAATTTTATTTTGGGGAAACTTTTCCCCTAGTGCTGCTTTCTTTTATCGCCTTACACAGGAGGAGGAAACGTGTGGTCACGGAATATCACTCGTAGGCTATCAATTGGTCCAGTGGAGCCCCCCACAACCCAAATAAATGCTCGCTTAATATTCGCAAGACGGCCCCTTAGGGCACCACACCACGTGCAGCTGAATCAAAAAATTAAGCTCATCGAAAGGAGCGGGCGTGTGATGTCAGATCAGATCAAACGGAAAGTCATACGACTGTCAATCAGCCAGTCAAGTCACTCAGTCAGTCATTCAGACTCGTAGAGTACACCCACGCCCAGGTACATGTTACAGCTCTGGTTGTACATGACCTTTTTCTCAATAAAACTCCTCATTGAGTAATCATAACCGCTCACCGTTGCTAGGAGACAACCCTACCTTGGCGCGGTAGGTCTAAATTTACCCACTAAGTAATGGGGATTTTTCGGAACTTGGAATAACCCGATTTCAGTAATACCATCCCATATCTTAGCTACTTCCAAGTGAACTGAACCCAGTGTGATCTGTCTTGGTTCGGTCTCCTATTTTTTGAGTAATCCATATAATACCAGTACTGCTGCTGCTGCCTAGTGTTACACCTATCCAAAAGTATTAGTAAAGGTAAAGTGGTATAGTAAGTAGATATGCTCAAGTGTCAGACTACCTTTCCCGGGGCCCGTCAGTCAGACGGGTGGACTAACTGGTTAGTTGTGGTTCGGGAGTTTAATAAAAGGGGCATTTGAGTGGTGCTTGGAAACACTCGCTCGGCCGGGATAGGATATCCACATATCCGTCAGTACTACTAGGAGACCTGCCTGCACAGGGCGCCGACACGTTACAAATGAACCAGCGTGGGTGCCGGCTGGTGAACGCGACCGAGAGCGGGGAGCCGGGAACGACCAAGCTCCCGGGAATTATGAAATGAGAGATTCCCAGTACTACATACATGTAGTGGTATGTAGTAGTACTGTACTCTTTTTCTTCTAGTTAGTAACATGTTCCCTGCCCTGCCTGTCTCTTCGTACCATAATCCCCCCCTAACGAGTGATCAAAGATGACCTCCATCAGCAGAGGGTGATGTATGTACATACAGCCAGTAGAGTAACTATTAGCTAAAGTCACCCAAAGAGACCAATCAATGATCAGGACATGCACGGGACGTCGGGAGTCGGCAAACGACCCGTTACCGTTAGCTACTCTACTACAGCCAGCAGCAGAAACTGGCATTAAGCAAAAGGAATCCCAGTACCTGGAGAATTCAGCGTTTCAATCAATTCTTCACCACCACCCCACCCCCTCCCCTCACCGTCAACCGCGATCGCCGCATGTTCAAATCTAAAATGCCATACCTTAAATCTGAGACACATCGGTGCTTCGAATTCTAGAACTGCTGGGCTGGCTGGCTGGCGTGATGATGAATGCTTCAAGGTTCATTGGCCCAATCAATCTCTTTAGATGGGGTGACGCAAGCCGCGAAGTGACATGGGTGAATATTTCGCATCCAGATCACCCACTATTGACTGTTGATCCTACCTGGGGTTCTCTTTATGGTTTGTTGACCGAGGTGCTGCTGCAATCACCGAGCCGGATGGAGGGGAGGAGGCGGGGAGGAGGGAAGAGAGGGAACCAGGAGATGCATCTAAGATACAGCGTGCATAAGCGTAGATTTAGAGTAAGTGAGCGGGGAGAGAGGTTTCCTGTGTCTAGCGGAGACAGCTGCATGTTAATGGGACGGTGGTGGTGTGGATACTGAGGGATTCCCATGGTCCACTCACGCACTTGCCTTGCTTGCCGCTCTCGCTTAATTAATTACACAGTAAGTCTCCCGCTATTCGTTTCTTATTCTTTCTCTTATTCTTATTATTCTTTCTCTAGTTGGGGGTGGCGCGCTCCGTGGCGCTGATGATGGGGTCCCCTATAGCGGCCCGCAATATAGGCAATATATCTCTTCATATAGCTTGTAGCCAAAACCCTACAAACTCCCAACTAGGAACATCATGTTAGTAGGTGCATTGGATCTTGCTTAATCTAAGTAAAATAAAATGATAGATACCAGCCCAGAGACACGTAGGCTATAAGGGGCCTAGATATAATAGCAGCCAGCTCTTATATACTTGTACCTACCATACCTAATAAATTGCCTTAGTTAGTCCTCACGTCCGCTCTTACCTTAGTACTGACACAGGGCATAATAGCCATTTCAATAATAATAGCCATGAATAATAGCCTCTAGTTACTATAGTACTAATAACATTCAGCTTTCTGCGCCCGAGCGTATCATTCTAAGCTACTTTCTACTAATTTCCTATTTTTCCGGTCGGGAGGAAGGGAAGCTTATCAATTCTCCGCAGGCACTAGGCTCATTCCAGCAGACATCGTTCGACTTGTTGCGGGTTCGGAAATTTCAGCCAGGAAGCCAGAAACATGTGAAGATGTCTGTGCCAACCAATCAGCTACGACCGGAACGGCCTAGCAGCTGTCGGAAAATGGTTAATCCACGGGTTCGGCCCGAGTGATTCGCGGTGACGATTTGCAATATCGACACAAAATTATCAACCTTTTTACGGATGAATATATCAGCGCTTATTAAACTGCATGTTCCTTCTCCTTCGAATTGGGTTGGCCGGAGTTTGCAAAGCGCACCGACATTCTTTTTGCAAATAACCTCATTATAATGATTACCACCAACTGCCCCACAATTGAACGGCCGGCTTGGTACCTGCATTCTCCCCTGTTGGAAAAAGGACCGTGAAAGCGCTCTTTCGGTGAAGAGGGGAGGGGGGCGGACAGTCGCGCGCTTGACCAACGGAGGAGATCAAGAAAACCCCATGTTGAAACTCCGGACTGTCGGATTAGGACCGGGAGATACCGAAACAAAGTCCGAGCTAGCCAAGGACTACTATTCTCGCTAGGCGGCATAACAATACACCGACAAGAATTGTTAGAGAGACGCAGGGGTAGAATACGGTTGTTGCAGCGGGAAAGGTTTATGCTGTTGAAAATAGTGGCACGAGTCTTGTCAAATATCAGCAGCGCAACCCAAACAACAATTGTAGAACTCAATTGGGTAAAGAAAGTATCACCTATGATATCCATGACCTGTGTTGGTAATGGAGTTATATGATGTTGGCTTAAGGCCGACTACATGTAGGTCGGTGATGGCGTTATTAAAGTTGAATGGTATAGTAGCACCTGCAATGGTGCTATCAATTGTAAACCACACTTTGTCCTACAGGACTTGTGGTTTTTCATAGTCTACGTAGGGCAATGTACATGCATCCCAGCCTACATTTGGGAAGACTCTCCATTAAACCACTCTGTAACAACTAGCACTATTATTGGAAACCTACATGATACTCATGATCGATCGGCAGACGTTTACAAGGGCGAATTCGAAGGAGCGGCCGGAAAATCGATTCATGTGCACCGGCGCCGGGAATATATATATATATATTTGACTAATAAGAACGTTAATAGTTAGTTCTCCACGACCAGGTCCTATATATACACATACATCTTTAATCTTGGTATATATGAATAAAAAGAAGCATATATACTGTAACTAAATTCAACTGGGTGGCACCACAAAAAATTGAGTAAACGTGGAAAGCTTACTGTATCTGGCGGAGGGGTACCAGTTTAATTTTTATGTGTTCGCCCGGGTACGCTGTTCGCTGCAGTTGCGTCGGGATACTCCAGCGTGCCATAAACTTCGCCTTATTCCAGTCGCTAATGCTCCAAGCTACGCCCACTAGGGGATAATAGAGCACGCACAAAGGCCTGCAGCATGATCGATCGCGACTTACATAAGTCGAGTGATGGGTTATGACGTGATCGCTTTGCTTTCTTTTGAGTTTCCTTTATTGAGAAAAGACTGATTGTAGTCTTCTATGTAGGTCCTTGACCGTACAGTGGGTATATGTATATGTGGTGGTCAAGATACGTACATGTAGTAATTAAAGTAAATATTATATTGTCGATACTTGCACCAATTCTAAGAGCTGTGTTTCGGTCTTGAAATATCACTCGAATAGCGATATAGGAAGAATGCCGATTTTCTCTATATAGCCTACAAAGAACATTTAAAGCATTCACGCAAGCTACTAATCATGTCGAAGATTCATAATTCTAGCTAGCCTCCTACTAAAATGCATGAGAGATACTAGGCTGATTGTAGCGCCTCTCGATTCCTCATATAATTGCTGTCAGACTGGACGCAATATGACTAAGCACAAATTGAAAAAATACAAAGTCTATTTGATTCGATTCTTAATTTCTAAAGCACATTCCATGCGTTTATGAAACTAGACCGAACCAACTTGATTATGATGCTAATCAGCCCCTATAACGAACTATCATTGGCCCCAATAATATTGGGTCCTTCCCATAGAAATATACTGACGCCCTAGTTGTTATAATTTGTGTATGGCTCCGTTACCGCGGGTTAAAGATCATATCTATGCGATTCTGCTCAATGACCATGCTTTAATTTTTCGGTGGCATTTCTACCATCGGATAGGGCATCGGAATACGTACCCCTAATGTCCTTCAGCTTCGTACGTTCTGCGCTTCAAGCGCTAGGATATTTTTTATGGAGGAGTAATCACCCATAAGCATATCGGTTAAAACTGAATCTTCATTCGGCGGTCGTGAAAGTGTGTCTGGATCCCTATGAAAGAAGTGAATCTTCCCGTCATCTTCTCTAAAAAATTCAAGAGAATCCGGTAATCCTCTCTTTTCTTTTGTAATTCTCACAACCTCTTTCGTAAATGAGCTATCTAAAGTCTCAAGAATCTTCATAGCACTAAGCCTACGGTAGGCTGTAAGGTTGAAAATAATTGAGTCAAAGTCATAAGAGCCCTCAGGCTGAAAGTAACTTATAAATAACTTTTGTGTGGAGTGTGGCTTAGGATGCACCTCCACATCTTCTTGAGAAGCCTTTGCATTTGCTTGAATACGACTGTCAAGAAAGTCGGAGATTTTTTGTTTGATCATAAATGTACCACAGGTGACTCTGGGAACGATCATGTATAGAAAATCAGATGATCTCAGCTCCTCCCAACCAGATATATCTCTGCTAGAATTTCGAACGTCACCAAGATCTTTGTTACAATAATAGAAGTCTGCTTTTAGGGCAGATGAGGCCAGGTGGCGGGCAGCCTGAAGCCCCTTTCGTTTTTTGTCAACCCTTTCAAAGATGAAAAGATCTTTTTTCACCCATGGAATATGGCAGACTGATTTGTACCGATCGCGAATCGAATCAGCCCACTTCGTCAAAGGCCCAGCAATGCCTAATTTAACACCTGCCTTATTTGTCCACCCTTTTTTTTCGTATTCCTCAATTTTCGAATCCGAATTTAGTAATTCGACAACCAATGAAGAGTCTGTAAAAACTCTGATAGAAGAGAAGGTAGGATTCCCGAAGATAAATCCTCCATCTATCAAGAGGTCTGATATAGCTATTATGCCTTCTATCAACGCTGTATCATTGACTGGAGTACCTTTCATTGTGGAAAGTAAAGACATATTCCAAGGAGAATTTTGCCCGAAAAAGACGCCATATGCTCCCTTCTCACCCAGAGGTTTCCCAGAATCTTCTAATGTGCGTGCATGCGGGTTAGAGATTTCTTTATCTGAGCGGCTACAAATGTATACCAACAATTCGCCTCGTTCGTTGACGGTGAATGCGCTTTTATAAGAATTAATTTCCTGGCCACCATGATCCCACGGAATAAATTCAAGCGAGCCCCCAGATAGCACTGGCTGTAAGGCAAGCCCGGGGCAAGTATCCAAAAAATCTTTACCCAACACAATGTCGATACCAATGTCTTGATGACCGGGGAAAAGCTCCTTGGCCACCTTTACGGTTTGTATGTATGGGCGTCCATGTATATGAATTTTGATAATCTGGATACCAACAAAAAGCTTTTGTTCATCTAATAGAAGTTCCCCAAGAGTCAAATTCCCGACGTCTATAAGTTCCATTGTCCCGGGGTTGTTCCCAACGACTGATTCTAGGGCAATAGATATGTCTGTAGACCAATCAATAAGGCAGCGAACATTTCTCAATTCAACGTCTACATTTTTCTCCCTTGACTCTTTGAGGTACTTGAAACGGAGATATTTCAAGACTTCGTTGTCTTGGTCGTGAATTTGAACTGCCGGACCAGCAAAATCAACACTGGGGAGGGGAACAAAAGGGGTTTCAAGTACAGCCTGAAACCCATGTTCTCCAGTCAATTCACTGTAGGGGGGTTTGGCAAACATCATTCCTAGCTCAGCTCGCTCGCATAGTTCGGCCTCTGTTAGTAGATCTAGCGATCTTCCCTTAATCGGTAGATAAGTGATATCTCCAGAGATTTCCGGATGCATAGATGAATACTGAGAGGACAGTTTTCGTGTTCTGGTGTTTAATCTCGGATGCTATGTTCAAGAATGACATCAAGAGCTGAAGACATTGTTGCCAAGCCAGGTGTCATTTACTCGGGGTGATGAATATGAATCATACCCTATCACTCGCGCCTTTGCCACGTGTGACTACAACGTACATACATGTACCTTCTAGCAGCCATACTTACTGTAGATATGGCTAGACGCCTATACAGCGAGAGGTAGAATTATTGTAGAAACAGGGATCTAAAAACAGGGTTTGATTGACTGGTTAAGTCAATAGGGCTCCTCAATAATCTTACCGCAAGCTGTAGAGTATATAAAGGTACATAATATACGCATAGCGATTTGCAATTATCTAGTAAATACATTTATTCTCATTAAGGCCTAGTCGTATTACTTTCCCACGTATACATACCATATACATTACCGCATCCTACTTGCACTCGCGTCACCGCACCTCAAACGCCGGCTTGAATTACATATACCGCTTGCAGCTACATGTACTCAGAGCAGAAAAGATGTACTACAAGATTATCATGGTTGGAGTAGCGGAGATTCCAAACGCAACGTTTTTATATTCCGATGGTGTTCTATTAATTTCACCCCATTCTTTTACATGTCCATCTAATTAGAAAAAAGAATGAGGAAACAACACATATGTCAAACTAAACCAGCACACAGAATAATCTTACAGTGTCATGCTCAGGTATAAACTGTACGTGTACACGCAGTGTACCACCTATGGGAACCGGTCTTTTTCTCTAAATCAGTTTCCAATCCACCACATATATAGGAATATGCAGTTATGGGTTATGTTGACGAAGACCGAAGAGTAAAAATATCTGTGACTACTTGCACGCCGTATCGTTCTGTTGAGGTCCCGTTCACGCTCGATTCTCTGCGATTCAAATAACACATCGACATACCTAAAAAAGAAACGCATGGCCGCTTAGGCACTCGAACACATCTATATTTGTGACCATCCATAAAAGGTATTCTTGCCAACAACACCGGCAGTCTCATATTGTCTCTGATCTGCCACCTGTTCGATCAACTCCATCATCTGCAGCCCACCTTCCTGTCCGTCAAGAGCGTAACCAACCCCATGTTTAACACTGCATCTCTGGTCCATGTCTGGCAATTTTAGCCTGTTGGTCGCTTTGCGCCCGTCGGGATGAGGGTAATTGCAAATGCTTGATCAAGTTGCTCCAATTGATCCTGTGTAAACATCGTTTGAAGTGATATCGTATGATAATCAGGGTTTTCTGTACATCGGAACTCTTTGATATTGCTAAAGAACTCTCGTATCCCATGTATTCTCAGTTATAGAATCTTCCGTTACGTCGTATAAGTGATACCAGAATCGGGTCCAATATGGCGGCGACTAGAGTTGACGAGAGGAGCGCAACATAGTGCTGATCAATGTAGGATGCAAACATATCGTTTGGCCCCTTTGTGTAAATTGTGATGGGAAGATCAGGCATATGAGCGGTATTATAGGTCCATGAAAGGCTGCTCTCCTTTCACGAACAGATCATGGGAAGTAAGGCGATTGTTGAATAGGTCGCGAGCCCGAAAGTTGGAAACCTGTTGCTGATCACGAGGTCTAATACCGGGCTTACCCGGTTGTCAACTAGAACCAGGAATTGAATGAACGGTCTATCGGGTCCCCGCATCTGTTCCATGGCATAATGATTCATGCTGCGCTCCTTAGGAAAACCACCATACTCGGAGAGTTCGTGGGGGTGAGCCATGATCCGCTGATACTTACTTTGGGGTTTGTGGCTAGCTAGATAGGACTCGAAACTCTCCTTTCTTGCCGAATCTTCTTTGGTATGGCGTTCCGGTGACCAACTCCATTATGCCGGGTCTTTCAAACCTTCAACCCATCCCTTTGCACTGTTATAAACCCATCGGAATAGAGACCAAGGCGCGACTTTGCGCCAACAAGACATGCGGAGGCACACTCTAGGGACTATGCAGTTAATATATTACTTGAAATTGTCACACCAAGGTACGTACGTTTTTCGCTGTACAGTTGTATGTACATACGTACTTGGTACATGTGTACATACATGCAGGGTGCGGCCCGGGCCGCCAGCAAAAGTGCATATTGTTAACTCTTGAACCCGGGACTTGAGATGTCTTTCCTTCAGCTCTTAAGATGATTGATAAAACCAAAGAAATTCAAATTGAAACGGATCATAGGTAGTATCGAGACATAAGCCATGGCCAGGGGGAGAGTGACGGGTGTATGGGCTTTAATGAGAGTCATCCAACAATCAATAGATAACGGGAAGAGTTGTGCTTTGTGCTAATCGAAATAGCAAACGATTCCCGAAAAACCGATGCGTAATGGCCGTAGAATTGCCTTATAGTTCTATCAGGAGTGATCTTCCGGCGAGAGGCGGTTAGGTTCCAATTTTGCTGCAACATTCTTAGCTGAGTTGCATGAGAAATAGAGATGTGTACTCCTAAGTGCGCATGCGTTCGTTACTCATGGATGTTACCGCCAGGAATACTAAGGGCTGTTACCCTAGTGAGTGATCCGTGGTGATTGATCCTGACAGTGCACAAACTACCGGTGATACATATACATATGTACTTGAGATTTGTCCCGCCCCGTACCACAATGTGGAGCAACGTCTAACGATCGAGAGAGGGAACGTGCCTAGACGATTCTTTATCCACTCGGCAGTCCAGGAAAGCCGCGAACCAGATGTAAAAAGCGTTAAGCTTTGTTCGATTGGACCGGAAAATGTGTGTATATCGTTGATTCTTTTAGTTTTTCAAAGCCTGAATGCCTGCAATAAATGACATGTAGTAGAACGGCAATATCTGCGGATACATGTACACGATGCCCCAACTCATCAGATGAACTGACGTTCGTAGAGGCAGCAAACGTACCTGGTCGGATAGTTATATTTAGAATGGAAAGATATGTAGTAATATATTATAGACATGAAAAAGGAAAGGAAAGAAAGGAAAGAATATATATATTAATAGGACAACAGATTGTACCACTCCAAACACCCGTGCCAAAAATTACAATAAACAAATCAACAAAAGAACACGTATCAAAACACAGTAATAACTCCTACATCACTCCAGCAGCATCATCACAGGTAGATCGTCGACACATCCAACCTCCTCAAAAGAACTGCCGAGTTACAACATCTTCCCTCTACACCATTTGCAGACGAAATATGTTTTAGACCCAACAACGAACTTGCAATCGCAATCGCAGCATGTACCCGCAGATTCTTGAAAGGTGGAAAAGTAGTTCCCTTTCCAACACATTTGACACAGCCATGGCTCGGCGCCTGCGCAAGAGCAATTTGGGAGTTCTGGTTTGTTCATATATCTGATATGGGAAGCCAAGCGTTTCTCAACGCAGCTAGGACATATCTGACGGCGAGGGCTCCCAAGGTGTCCTACTGGCCCCACACAGTGCTGTATATTAACAAATATTAGCTATCAATTAAGTACGGACCTATCGAAGCTTAAAGAAGTGAGTAGCTAGGATACTTACATTGCAGACGCCGTACCTGCATTTGTGGCACGCCTTAACGTCCTTCACAGGAGGAAGATATTCGTGTGCGGAGTTAAATTCACAAATCTCATTGCAATTCGACTTCAGGTTGTTCCAATGACGCAAGTCATCACCCCAATCCCCACCACGTAGGAAAGCGAAACAACTCTTATCGGTCAATGTCAGAGAAATCAGCTCTTTCAAATTAAGACTTTTGGCGATGGACACAACAATTGGATAGACTACTAGGAGATCCCGAAGCTGTACGACTTTCCGAGGCCTGGTCGTAGTCGAGGAGCGAGTTGATGGACCGACGTCATGATTAGTAACGAATTGTGTCGCGCGAAGAACTGACATGGCCACGATATTATGCGATATTTAGTTATTTAGGGATACAAAGTTAAAAGTATAGTCGCGGTGGCGTATTGGGTCGTTGAAATTCAAATAAACAGGAATGACCGGATCGTCAGGTACCTGAAGCGCAAGACGTCAGTCGAGTGCCGTGATTTGCCAAGTGACTAACTCTCAAACCGAAAAGTCACTGGCTCAAATATTGCAATCACCTTGTATCCTTCGAATATTTTGTTAACTCTGCAATAATTGTTTTGCTTACCTTTACCATCTTCAGCGTCACCAAAACTCACTCGCCTCGTTTCGAATCGAGCTTCACACAACGATATCACAAAACAAACCGACAAACAAGAACCAACCATCTTAAGTAGTTTTTGCTCAACGTATCTTCTGGTGTAACCTGGATCGGTTGATTTTGATAAACGATCTTGGGCAAGGATTGTGAGATCTACTCCGGCCCCGGCGGACCGATGAATCGGGCAGGATCGGACCGATTGAACAGATCCATGTAGCAAAGCCGTCGGTTAAGACTTAAAGATGATCTTCCGATATCTTCACGGGGCCCTTGGCGAATAAATCTTCTGCGTATAGACTTTCTGGGAGCTATTTTGTGGAGAAGTGCGCGGTTAAAGCGAGATTTCCGGCTAAAATGAGGATCGATCGCTAGTTTATTAACTTACCACGATCTAATGTGAATATATTGGTTCTGAGAAACATCAAATGCACTCATTGCTCGAAGGGGATGTGGTTTAGTGGTATAATGCTTCTTTAGCATAGAAGCGGTCCGGGGTTCGATTCCCCGCGTCTCCATTCTTTTTTCAATTTCCAGTTTCTGAATATATGGAGAAAATATTCGTCACAAGGACAGATACCTACATGTACCTAGATACTAACCTGGGTAGGTTTGGAACGGCAAGTTCAATATTCAACGAAGGATGGATTCGGGAGATGGGCACTCGGAATCCCTTCAATTTTAACATTTGTGCCATAAGTGTCCATGTCTGAGATGGGGCGAGTATGGAAATGTAGAATTTGTAGCTATTATGCAACTGGTTTGACTTGCTTGTGTAATTTAGTTAGATGGTTGGGAATTGGAGATCAAAGATTTTAACTTGTAATCACCAAGACTCACTCGTCGATGAATTTGGACGGGATTGCGCGGTCCAAAATACTGTCATTTCCCATGAGAGAATAGAAGAAACGAAAAATGAAAAAATGTCATGCTTTACCAATCCCGCGACTAGACACTGAGAGCCACGTTCCAGGATTGGTCCTCGTCACCGAGCAATCGCATATTCAATCTCAGCACATCTTCGGCGCAACCAACAGCAATTAAAGTGCAGGGGTTGTAATTTGACATCCGTGCTTGTTTTTTCTTTTGGAAAGAGATGAGGGATAGAAAAGAGAAAAAAAAGAGCAACTTTTGAGTATTTTTGGATATTTTTTTTTTGACCTAAAAATTATCCATAAGAGGGGGTGGTGCGAAAGAAAGAAACGCAGAAAAAAGTTTTGTTAGATTTAAGCAGACTTCTTGGCGAATTCGACCCTCAAGATCAAGTGCCCGTAACCAACTAGATTCTCTATCAGTATTTGATAGAAAATATGTAAGCTGGAAAAGATACTCACATCCATCCATCTTCTCGCACGCCCTCGCCGCATCACTCCTATCCGCAAAAGAGATGAATGCGAAGCCCTTTGCCCTTCCAGTTTCTCTGTCCTTGGCCAAGAATACCCTCGTGACCCTTCCGAAACGCTCAAACATATCCCTCAGGTCGTTCTCCTCCGCAAACTCAGACACGTTTGTAACCCTAAGGGTGGCAAGGTCGTCTCTGTCCTTGAAGTTTCCACCACCCATAGTCTCTCCCGCACCCTTCTTCCCACGCAGATGGGGAGCAACATAGCTTCCCTTTGTCATTCCCAAGCCACCGACATCCTCAGCCGCATTGCCGCTATCGCCCGCACCCGCACCAGACGCAGCAACGTCGTCGAGCGGCGGAAGAGTGTCCTTGAACGGACAGCGGGCCGTGAAATGGTCGCCCTTACAGATACGACAGGCAACCTTCTTGTCCTTCAGCTGGTCCCTCAGGCTGTCCTCCTCCTTGCTCTCCTCCTTATTTGAGCTCTTCCAGTTTGACGAGGGGCGGAAGACGATGTTCTCGCCCACGGAGGTTGTGGAGAGGTCGGGCCCGCGCGCGTGGCCCTTCTCGGCGCCGAATTTGGACCATTCCTTGCGCTCGGCGACCCGTGGGTTGACGTGCTCCTTGACGATGGTGGTGCGGATCTTGCGTGTGGTTTTGATCTTCTTGCCGGCGTCGTTGAAGCGGAAGGTGATTATTGTCTTTGTGCCGTCGGGGTTTGACAGGACTTGCTGAGGGGGGAGGACTGTTGGGTCATCGAACTCTTCATCGTCGGCCCAGTTGGCTCTTCTGCTTTCGGGGGTTAGAGGCTGATGCTGGAGATGAATTTTTTTTTTCTTCCTCCTTTTTCCTCCCCTCCCCCTCCTTTTCTTTCTCTCTAGTTTTTCCTTCAAATTGGAGAGTGAAAGCTTACGAGGTGTCAGGCATGATTAATTATGGTGAAATAGAGGTTCCTAGAAATTTTTTTTTTTTTCTCTCCTGTGTCTGGGGTGGGTATGCGATGGAGGATCGATAAATAGATAGATGGAGGTTGGGTTGGGTTGTTGGGTTGTAGTGGGGCTGGTGTGGTGGACGTTGGTGGCAATCATCCCGTTGTCGTAGTCGTCGTAGTCAGAAAAAAAAAAGCGGAGTCACTCGCCTGCTGCTTTGTGTGCGTCTGCCAAGATTACACCCAATAGAAACTGAAGTTAGTAGTTACGGGGGGTCTCGCCCAACGTGCAGATGCTGTGCAGCAGTGCGGCTCTCCCCTCTTCTCAGCCTGGGGATCTCCCCCCCCCCACCCTCTGCGATAGACACCAATTGCTTGATTCTGATCCCCCCTACAGAGTACAGTCTACAGAACTCTCTCTCTCACCTCTGGAATACTATCTACTATCTCTCGGAATACACGGCGCAGATATATATACACATTAATACCCCTCAAGCAAATTATTAATAATGTCACGACTAACTGGCGAGGTACTTCACCTCCCATCATCCAAACTGCCATGCTAACAGCCCCCCCCCAGGGCGGTGGCCGTACCAGCGGTGGAATACCACCCCCGAAAACAGAGAGCGCAGTCCAGGCCCGGAAATCATTCTACTGTACCCTCCTCCTCCTCCTCCCCCTCCCCCTCCTCCCTCCCTAGTCCTATACCCCCAATTGGCAAAACAAAAACAAAAACAAAAACAAAAAAATATAGTACAATATATCTAAAAGTGTCCGCGTCTCTCTATCTAGGCGAACTATGCTCAAAGGGTTACTCGCGCATGAACGAGTTCGAAGCTCACGAGAACTCCTACGACCACCAGCACAAGAAGCGCTTCCAGGAGATGAAGGCCATGCAGCGCGACCCTTCCACGGCAGAGAAGCGCCGGGAGCGTGAGCGCCGGCAGGACGAGAAGGCGGGTGTCATCACAATCAAGCCGCTCAAGCTCGCCGCGGATGAGAAGAAAGCTGGCGGGTTCAAGAAGGGCGGGTTCAAGAGCGCGTTTGGGAACGAGGAGGAAAAGAAGGTTGTGCCGGCCGCGTCAATCGGTGGGTTCAAGAAGGCATTCGCGGCCCCAGAGGAGCAGAAAGTGGCAGGAGCAGGAGCAGCGGCGACGGCGGAGGAGAGTGATACGGGGGATGAAGGTTACGAAAGATACGATCCAGCGAAGCCTACAGATTGAGAGAAGCTGGAGAAGAGCCTGTATTTAACAGCTTTGGTATCATTACTCGATTCCGCAGCTGTAATCGTTCCAATACCTTTCGCTAGCGTGTAATATGTACTATCTAGAGTATTTATCAAATAATTTGCGCCCCGCAAAAATGCTGCACTTTTCATCCCATTTCCATGCTTTCAATTCATATTACATGCCCTCGTAAAAAACCCTTTTTTATACCGCTCTCATGAAAAAGACATTGTAAAGATGGTCGTAATGCTTTCCTAGGTATCCTCTCACCGGCCCCGACTTGGCAATAACAAAAAGCCCAGAGAGCCATGTGCCAGCTACCGCTACAGCTGTAGCACCTGTTATGCGCCGCCGCTTGTCGATTTTAAGGTATTTTGCCCAACCTGCCCCCTCAGTTAGCTAACTTTGCACAAATGATTTTTACTTTGCATTCCAATTAAAGGCCGCTCACCGAAAACGACATGGTAGGACACCAGCCCAACCATCACCGTGTAGAACCCGGTGCCAATCCACTTCCCCCACCTCCCCATATGGAACCCATGCCCCAGGTACTCCAACGTGATATCGCTACTCCCCCCATCCACCCACAGCGGCACAACCCTCAGCAGCCCCGTGTGCGCCGCCACAAACGGCAGCATGGCCCATCCCGCCAGACTAATGCCCGAGAAGTTCCCCAGACGCCATTGCGACAGTGCCGGTGGGGGGCTCCCGCCGTAACGCTGCCGCTGCTGGTAGTGGCGGTATGCCCGCAGCCCGAGCCCGGACCCAACGTGCAGGAGCAGCGACCCGGGAATGAGTATTGATTCGACGATGGGGTGCGACTGGTAGAAGTAGGTGCGCGCGAGGAGGAGAGAGGAGTTCCCGGCGTCGAGGCCGAGGAAGAGGGGTGTTAGTGAGACGGTTGTGGCGTGGAGACCGAGGAAAGCGCTGAATGCGTAGGATGAGTATTTTTGTGATCGTGCCACTGTCAGAGTTAGCAGAGTGTAATCTGGCGCTACCTAATGAAAACGAGATTTTTTTCTCTTTGTGCCTCAAGGAACTTACACCAGAAGGTCAGATTGGACGAGGTTTGTGAGTAGTTGGAGTAATTGGAAGAGGAAAGGTCCGTGGCCTTCCTCTCTACAGGATTCACGGATAGCTGTTCGGCATTGTAGTAGTAGTCTGCTTCGTCGTCTTCGATAGGTGACGGGGCGAGTTCCTGCATGGAAATGAGGGAGATTTCATCGTCCTCTGGAACACGAGAAGATCGGCGATACATGATGAGATGACGAGAGAGAGAGAGAGCAATTAAAGTAAAGACGGGAAAGGAGCAGCGCTGGGATGAAAGACAAGGCGAGAGTGAGAAAAGAGAGAAAAGAGAGATTGACAGCAGATGCGCGCTAGAAGAGGGGAATTATATCGCCAGGGATTGATTGCATGTTTTAGTTTCTTACAGAACTTTGAGGAATTCACCAATCATCCATGACGTCGCTGATTAGTTAGAACCCGAGGTCCAGTAGATCTTCCATCCTCCCGATAAGATGGATATAATATCACTCACTCCACCAACTCTGGGGATATCTGAAAACATTCTTTCGCTCATTCCAGAAACACCCAACATTCTATTCCCAGAGCTGAATTACTTACGATGAACTGCACAATGAAGCGCGCCCTGCTGGCGTCTCTGCGCCGCAGCCCTGCTGCTCCATGCCTTCTGTCCAAACGCTACGTCTCAGCGTTTGGCTACACGCAGGCAAAAGCGCTCGTATACTCAAGATACGGCCAGCCAAAAGACGTCCTAAGGTATCCCACCACCATCATCACCACCACCCACTACCCGCCGTCCGAAAAAAAAATATATATATATATATACCGGTGATCAATTTCATGAAACATGATGTGCTGACGCCGGAGAATTAACCGTCAATTGTCGCCATGAAGCCTACACTCACACTCCATAGCTCCCGCCTACAACGACGAAATCACCGTCAAGTTCCTGGCCTCCCCAATCAACCCAGCAGACATCAACCAAGTTCGGAAATCCCCCTAGAAATGCATTCTCTTATGATTGGAACCCCTACACTAACACCCCCCTCCCCGCCAGATTGAAGGCGTCTACCCCTCCAAACCCCCCTTCACCACCGCCCTCGGCACCCCCGAACCCTGTGCCGTCGGCGGCAACGAAGGCGTCGTCGAAGTCGTCGCCGTCGGCGCCAAAGTACCCGACTTCAAGCCCGGCGACCGCGCAATCATGCGCAGCGTCGGCTTCGGCACCTGGCGCACCCACGCCTCCGCAAAGTCCTCGCACCTGCTCAAGATCCCGGACGACAAGGCAATCACGCCCATCCAGGCCGCCACCATCTCCGTGAACCCGTGCACGGCATACCGCATGCTCAAGGACTTTACGCCGCTGGAGAGGGGCGACTGGTTCATCCAGAACGGCGCAAACTCGGGCGTGGGGAGGAGCGCGATCCAGTTTGGGAGGCTGTGGGGGCTGAAGAGCGTCAATGTCATCAGGGATAGGGATAATGCCGACGAGCTGAAGAAAGAGCTTGAGGCGCTGGGCGCAGACGTGGTGGTGACGGAGTCGGAGCTGGCGGACCGGGATAGGATGCAGGAAGTCAAGAGGCTCGCTGGGAAGAAGGGTATGAGGCTCGGATTGAACTGCGTTGGCGGGAAAGCAACAACAGATCTCCTCCGGCAACTAGGGTAGGATTTCTCTCCCTTTCGTCAATACCCCAACTCCAATTTTTACTGATATCACCATCAGGCACGGAGGTCACCTCGTAACCTACGGCGGCATGTCCCGCCAGCCCATCACCGTCCCCACGTCTCTCTTCATCTTCAAAGACCTCCACCTGCACGGCTTCTGGGTCTCGGTCTGGTCCGACAAGCACCCGGAGGAGAAACAGGCCATGGTGGAAGAGATATTCGGCTACATCACCTCGGGCGAATTCAAGGACACGCCCGTGCAGGAGACTGTCTGGACGCCCACCACAAAGGTGGACGTATTGAAAGAAGCCGTTGCACGTAGCGGACAGGCGTTTGGCGGGAAAAAACAGGTGTTCATATTTAAAGAAGAGTAGGGCTTTCTTGTTCTTTGGTCAGAAGGCGCAGGAGGATGAAATGTAAATTATACCAAGAACCAAGTAACAAACGACAAACTCAGTGTGAAATCTTGCTTGGGTGGATGCGTGCTCAAAGTTCAAAATCAAGACCGGAATCGATATAGCCGTTCAATGTCAAGGTAGGTGTCGGTTGATCGATAATTAGGATCATGGATTATCACTCGTTTATATTTTATAGTGACCTTGTTGATGGCGCCATACAGGCAACCCCCAATTGCATTTGGACATGAGTATGAGTGTTTGACTGGCTGGTGGGGATATGCTGAAGATGAGGAATGCGGAACAAGGTGAGAGTGCATGTAGGTATAGGGTGTCAGCTGGAAGGGTACTCTTTTTGCCCACTATTCCTAAAACCATCTAGCAGCCCATTCCAGCTTTCACCCACCAGCCATACAGGCGCTGTAGCATGTTGCAACGTCGAGTTTCAGTACAGCCCTGCACCCCCCTATGCCCGGTATACATCCCCATCAGTAACTCTACATCCCCCCATCTCGAGGACGAGGGAAAAAAAAGTTGGAGACGCGGGGAATCGAACCCCGGACCGCTTCTATGCTAAAGAAGCATTATACCACTAAACCACATCCCCTTGTTTATAGCTATGAAGCACTGCACAGTTATCCCAGAAAATGTTTTGCACATCGCAAAATGTTTTACCACTTGCCACCGTCGCACAACATACAGTACTAACCGCCAAACATTTCAACCACCACGACTGTAGTAAACGTATGGCGAGGGATAAGTAGGTACTGGCATGACAATCTGTTCTCGCTTATGTCGAAATTCTGGTACATTATCTCTTCTCTCGTCCCGCGGTTTGGTCGTGCTACAGCCATTGATTGGAACACACACACTGCCCTACAGCACCTGAGGTCCAACGTAAGCGCCGCCTCCCAGCATCAACAATAAAAAAAAGAAAAGAGGGAAAAAAAAAGAGCGGGGGCTTGGCCTACAAAGTACCTACGGTAGGCGTACATATCTCTCAGCTCCGGTACCCAGTATATCTTCATTGCATATTGCTGAGTATGGATCGGCAAGTGGAAATGATAATATCACCAACAATCTTTTACAAGCAACCCTTTTTGAGAGCATTCGACCAACAAATACCACATATAAAAGTTTTCAAGCTTTTAATACTCTGTCTTAATTGCGGCAAATAGTCTTTTGGAATTAAAGGACATATGGGAATATGAGTACACAATATTGGCACAAACAGTATAAAACATACCCCCGAATAATGTAAAAGGTTAGTAGTAGTAGGCCTTCAAAGCAAGACCTTGTTTCTAATCCTCTACTTTGATTTCCGTCTAATTAGAACCTACTTAACCTACCTAACCACCCATCTACCTGCCTTCACAGGCCTTCATAGTGCCCAACCCCTCCAAGATCTTCGCCGCCTCCCACAACACGCCCTCATCCCCAAACTGCGTCATAACCTGCATCCCAATCGGCCGCCCCTCCGGATTCCGCCCACCCTCCACCCAAACCGGCACGCTCACCGCCGGCACCCCCGCCAGGCTCGCCGGCACCGTCAGCACATCATTCACATACGCATCCAGCGGCGACCTCTGCGCCCTCACATCGCTCAACAACGGCGCTGCCGACAGCGCACATGGCGCCAGAATCACGTCCACACGCCCCTGCCCCCCATCCCTAGGCGGCGCCCGCTTGTCCTTGTGCCGCATCTTGAGCCAATTCGGCTGCACAAACGCGGCGTCAAAGTCGCTCTGCACGAGCGCGCGCACGCGCTGCGCCTGGATGAAGTAGTTCTCCTTTGCCTCGGAGCTGAGCGCATATGCGCCCATGAGGATTCGGCGGCGCACCTCGGCGCCGAAGCCGTCGTGGCGCGTGGGCGCGAAGAGGATGTTGTCCGGGCTGCTGCGGTCGGCGGCGGAGCGGTGGCCGTAGCGCACGCCGTCGTATTTGGCGAGGTTGGAGGAGGCCTCGGCGGGCGCGAGGACGTAGTAGGAGGAGAGGGAGTGCGGGGTGTGCGGGAGGGAGATGGGGGTGATGCGGTGGCCGAGGGAGAGGAGAGTCTGGGCGGTGGTTTCCCAGGCTTCGCGCACGGCGGGGGTGAGTTCGGTGACGTTGTATTCCTGGGGGAGGGGAAGGGAGAAAGTCAGTCAGTAGGGAGCGGGTATGGTGGGTGGTTGGGTTGGGTTGGGCGACAAACTGTGGGGATGCCGATTCGGAGAGAGGCTTTGTTGTAGCTTGATTTTGAGAGATTCTCGCGCAGGCGTTTGCGCGTCTCGGGGGACAGGCTTGTGGGGTCGCGGGGATCGTGCTCGTTGATCGCATCTACAGCGCATTATTAGAAACCACAGCAGCTCCAGAAGAATCTTGATATTGCGGTCCTTCCCATACCGAAAATGTTCTTCACGCTCTCCACGTCCTTCCCCAGGATCCCCACGGTGTCCAGCGAGTTTGCATAGGCCACAACCCCGAGGCGGGAGAGCATGCCATAGGACGGCTTGAAGCCAACCACGCCGCAGTACGACGCTGGCAGTCGCACGGATCCGCCGGTGTCTGTTCCTAACGCACTATATATTCGCCTGCACCTCAATTTTACAATTCCCTCCTAGAAGGGAGAAGAGCGGGGGAGGAGGGCTGCATACGCATCACACATGCCCATGGCCACAGCGACCGCACTCCCGCCCGAGCTTCCGCCCGCCGATCGCGGCTGCGGGTCCTCTGGCGGCGAGGGCCCAACCACGGCGCCGAAGGCGGAGTAGATGGAGTGGGATCTGTAGGGGAGCTTCTTTGTTATCTACTTATTTCCTGCATCAGATCCGGAAGCTATATCAGGGCGGAGGAATGAGGTTGGTGCGCGAGACTTACCCCATGCCAAACTCGTCCATGTTGGTCTTGCCCATGATGATTGCGCCGGCGCGCTTCAGGTTCTGCACGACCGTGGCTTCGTAGGGCGAGACGTAGTCTGTGGTCCTGGTCTTCAGTCTCCGTATTGATCTTGATCTCCTGCGCACTGCGGGGCCAATTGCAATTGCAGGTGGGGCTATAACTATAGCTAACTAACCTCGGAGCATCTCTGAAGCGCAGGTCGTGGGCAGGTCGGTGGTGCAGATATTGTCCTTGACGGCGATGATGCGGCCATCGATGCTGCTGCTGCTGCTGCTGCTGCTGCTATGCTCCGACTTCTTTTGCACTAAGACCATTCAATTATCATCATTACCGTTGCTATATATAAAAAAAAAGCATGCATCTTGTAGAGCTCTGCTGGGAAACAACTCACAAGTCCCGGCCAATTGCAACCGGGCGTCCACCGACGCAGCCTCCGCAAGAAGCGTCGCCTCGGGCTTGAGCGAGATGAAGGCGTTCAAGTGCTTGTTGGTCCTCGCGGCCTGCAGAAACTGCTTTGCCGCACCGACACGGGACAGCATTGCGGCGTCGATAGATGCTGAGATCGGGTTTAATTTAATTGAGGCTTAAAAAAAAAAGAATGCGATTCCGTCATTGACAGGGCAGGGTAACTACTGGTTGCAGGGCAGGCAGGGTAACCCAGCACCCGCATGCGGTTAGTGCGCCGTGTCTGTCAACCTCGGTTACCCGGGGGATGCGAGGTTTCGCCGGGAGAGAGCTCCCGTTCAATTAACTTTGAGTACTTTCGCGTTCAACTCCAGCAATTAAGCTCCCAATTTAAGTATATCACCACAAGACCACAATGGCTGCGACGCCGGCGTTAAAGTTTGTCCGCTCTGTTAGTTTCACGTCTTTTTGAGGATTTTGGCGGGGCACAATTGCTTATCCTTATCCTTATCCTTATCGATATATTCGTGCGGTAATGATTGATATCATGATATAGGTCTGGACATCGTTCCTTGAATCGAGTGGACTAGAACCACGGTAACTCCACCCCCCCTCTCAAACACCTCTATCCAAATCCAAAGCCATCGAGAACTCTTACTAACAACCCACCTAGACTCCTCCAAAACGTACCCCACCCCTCCTCCCTCTCCACAATCTAAACCAGCACAACGATCATTGACCCCCTCACCTCACCACAAACAGCTAAAACTAACCCACGCCGAACCCGGCAAAGTCTCTTTCGAGCTTGCCGTCGAAAAACAGCACACCGTAACCACCCCACCCCTCGCGGCTGTGTTTGTAGAGTGGATTTGTGAACAAAGAGTAGAATAGGCTCGGAATCCTCCACGGCGGGACTATCGCGTCGATGGTTGACCTGGGCGGCTCACTGGCCGTGGCGTCGAAGGGGCTGTATTCGACGGGGGTGAGTACGGATATTAATGGTATGTTTTATTGGGTTGGGTTTGGATTGGGTTGGGTTGGATGGGGTGCTGACGGGGATGGGTGGTGCGTGTGGTTAGTAACGTATCTGGCGTCCGGAGGGCCCGTGGGGAATAAAGTGAGGGCGGAGGTGACGTGTGATAAATGTAAGTTCTCCACTAGCTGGTTGGTTTTGGTTTTAGTTTTGGTATGGGGCTGAGGAGGGGGCGGGATAGTCGGCAAGACGTTGGCGTTCACGAGTGTCAAGTTCTGGAACGAGAAGGACGAGGTGTTTGCGAGGGGGAGTCACACAAAGTAAGTTCTCTTCTCGAGCACTGCCGGGGCCGGGGAAGTGAAGTGTATGGGCAAAACTGACGGATGGGGTGCGACAAATTAAGGTATGTGAAGCTTGCATGGGAGGATAAGAACAATATTGTGGGCCAGCTGTCGCCGGAGTTTGTAAAGAAGTGAGGAAGGCATGGATGAGTACATGTAGGTGGATAGGTGAGTGGGTGGGGTTAGACATTAATTGGCATTGATACCCGCATATTTGGTAGACAAAATGATAGAATCCATAGACCATTATCCCGCACTGCCTAACGTACGCCTTTCAAGAAAGTGATTAAATTCTATAAACTTTTTGCTATCCACCTGGCCCCAATCTAGGTATTTCCTCCCCTCCCCCCCCCCCCCCCTCCCCAATCACACACCCCCTAGGCGGTCGGTCGGTCATCGATCCCCCAATATCCACGGCCTCTTCTCCCAGAACGCGTCCTGTATGATATCCACATGCTCCACCACCACCTGCGCCTTCTTCGCACGCTTCTTCTCCTTCTCAATCTGCGTCTTTGACTTTTCCCTCGGCACTGCCGTGGTCGCCGTCTCCTGCGCTTCGGCAGTGGCAGCGGCAGCGGCGGGGGAAGAGGAATCGGGAGCAGCAGCAGAGGGTAGAACGTCGGTGTAGTCCCGGAAGATGACGCTGCCCTTCTTGAAGAATTCGGGCTCGTTGTTGTAGTTGATCTTGAAGCGCGAGAAGAGGATCTCGTTCTTGTCTTTTGCGAAGGTGCCCTGCGGGGGTTTGTTAGCTATAGTGCTGTAGAAGAATGTGTATTATATCCAGCGGGTAAAGATACCTTGAGTTCTTCCTCAGCCTCCTGTGTCGTCATTCCTCCCTGCTGCACGAGCGCCCAGAACGTGGTGTTGTAGAGATTGTTAATATGACCTACACTCTCGTTACAGTTAGCCCTCTCTCCCCTTCCCTCCTGCTAAATCAAAATAAAACATACAATCCGCCTGTCTCCAGCTCAAATAATCCCTGACATTCCCCAGCGCCGGATAACACACCGCGCGGCCATCAAACGACGGCAGCGGCGGCACCAGCGGCGTCTCGGGAAAGAACTGCGGCCACAAAAACACATACCAGCTCGTGAAGCTGCTGCACACCGTCGTGACCAGCTTCGCCTCTCGGCGCTCAAAGAGCGTGGTCTCGCGGCGGAGCACGAACGAGAACTCGTCCGAGACGCCGTAGGCTATCGCGATGTCGGGGAGGTCGCGGACGACGGCGGCGGCGGCTGCGTTCATGAGGTGCAGGGCGCGGATGTCGTTGGGTTTTGTGAAGGCATGGCGGGCGCTGAAGGAGTGGAAGGAGCGGCCGTCGAGGCGGATGACGATGAAGGTGTTTGGGAGGAGGGGGTCGGGGCGCTCGAAGGCGCGGACGTACTCGAATCTGTGTGGGGAGTGTTAGTGGGTGGGGAGGAGGGAAGTGGGAGGGGAGGGGGGGGGGAGGGGAGGGGAGTACTTTGAGTTTGCCATGCGGAGGAGAGCAGGTGCAGTGTGGAGCGCTGTGTTTGCAGTGCTGTGAATGGCGGCAGCGGCAGCGGCGGTGGTGGGGTTGCGGGGGATCGGCGCAGGGATATTTTTTATGGGCGTCAGCGCGGTGGACAGACGACTCAACGTTTTGTGGCAGCGGATCATTGACCTTTCCTGAGCACTCCAAGGAAGAATTCCTCCGGTCGGGCGTGAAGAGATGCACTAGTTCCGTTCAGGGTTTATTTACACGACGGAGGTGAACGGATGTCTCAGCTATGAGAAGGGAAGAGAACTGATACCAGAGGGGGACAGATACATGTAGATATCTCGGAATCTATACCATTAATTCAGTCTCTCCACACGCACTCACTCAGCCCCCACCGAGCCAGTCACCGCGCATCACTCACCGCTCCCGCGCATCACAAAGAATCACTCACCACTGCATTTCTCTCTCTCTCTCTCACCTGCACCCGCAATCATTGGCCAGGTCCCAGATATACACCCCACAGTTCACCCCATCACTGGCCATTCCACAATCTGCAGCATGACCACATGTGCGTCTGACGGACAGTGTCTTCTGACATGTGACAGCCGCGCCTAGCCGGTGTGTTCGGCAACCTCCACAGAGCACCTCCGTCTAGCTACTAGCACTCCAGCCATAACTGTCACGACCTCTACGACGACCAACGAATACTAATTGTTTTTATTATATATACCCCCCCGTTTGCAGCAATGTTTAGAAGACTAGTACCGCGTACTGCTAGCTCTGTGCTCGTCAGGCCTACCGCACGGCTGTTCTCCGTGTCGACTGCTGCTGAGGCGGCGCACGGTGTGAAGAGGCTTGGAGTTATTGGTGCTGGCCAGATGGTATTGACTATATAACCTCCGTTTGAAATTTGGGTGTTGGGGGGAAAGAATCGAAGTTGACAGTTGTCGTGCTATTCAGGGTCTAGGAATTGCACTCGTAGCTGCAAAGGTGGCCGAGGTGCCCGTCACGATTATCGACAGCAATCCAGCGTCGATCCAGAAGTCGCTCGGCTTTATGAGTTAGTAGCCGGCCCTTGACCATTGATATTGGAACTATATTCCGTATTCCATATACTCGAACTTATACTCAGAGTTGAGGAGAAGAGAAGAAGAGAGGAGCTAACACGCACCAGACACCCTCCTCGAAAAAGATGTCAAAAAGTCCCGCATCACCGCCGACGCCGCCTCCAAAATCAAATCCCGTATTACAACATCCACAGACCTCTCCGCACTACACGACTCCGACTTCATCATCGAAGCCGTCCCTGTACCTCCCCTCCTCCCCCGCTCCTCCCCAAACACTCTACTAACAACCCCTTCTAGGAAATCCTCTCCCTCAAACTCGACATCTTCTCCCGTCTCCCCGCTCTCGCCCCTTCTGACGCCATCCTCGCCACCAACACCTCCAGCCTCTCAATCACCAAGCTCGCCGCCGCCGCCGGCCCCGCCGCTGCCCACCGCGTCCTCAGCACCCACTTCATGAACCCCGTCCCCATCCAGTCCGGCGTCGAAATCATCACTGCGCTCCAAACCTCGCCCGAAACCCTCTCCCGCGCCCTCGCCTTCGTCACCGCAATGGGCAAGACGCCCTCCACATCCCGCGACACCCCCGGCTTCATCGCGAACCGCATCCTCATGCCGTACATCAACGAGGCGGTCATGTGTCTCGAGACCGGCGTGGCCACGCGTGATGATATTGACGGCATTATGAAGAACGGTACGGGAGTGCCGATGGGCCCGCTGATGTTGGCGGATTTTATCGGTTTGGATACGTGTTTGGCGATCATGAAGGTGCTGGCGGATGAGACGGGTGACTCGAAGTATAGGCCGGCGGTGATGCTGGGGAGGATGGTGGATGCCGGTTGGCTGGGAAAGAAGTCTGGGAAGGGATTTTATGACTATTAGCTGTTTTTAAAGGGGGATAATGGTATGGTGGGGTGTAGATAGCGGAGAGGGGTATAAACAGCCGTTCTGGAATTAGTAAAAAAGGTCAATGATAGATAAAACAGATAAAAACTTCCCAGAGCATGTCCGAATCCCCATATTAAAGAGCCAATCTCCACTACACTGCAGCGAGTAAAGCTGTATCAAGTTTGGTTAAATTACTAAAGATGTATTGTACTATGTCTATAAAATACCGATAAGCTCTGAATTGAGGCTAGGGTTAAGGATGGTATCACACACCTCTTTGTAGGGAGAGAATCTTAAGTTTAATCTCTTTATTTTGATCCCGATAGCGTAGGTAACGGACCCCCATTAGGAGAAAGCTTCCAGGCTCTTGGTGTCTCCAGAATTTTATTCTTGCTCTCTGATAGGATGATGGAAGGATAATGGTTGAATTTCTCGATTGCTGCGGACTTATAGGCCACAAAACTGACACCTATGCCTTAGTGTATGCAATGTGTTTTAAGTCCCACAACGTCACCGAAAACGCGAAAACCTAGCCTCAGCCAAACATTATGCCAAGCCGTTATTATCCCCAACATCATTGCCGACCCAAGAATTTCAGCATCATCAATAATCATCAGATCTTCATTTTACTAAAGTTATATTATACATTGATATCGAAAACTCATCACATTTTGTATCGTTACATCCTGCACCCCCCCCCCCCCCCCAACACACACGCTCTACAACTTTCCATTTATAATGCCCCCTCTTGCGGCCTTCATGCTCTCTATCTTTGTCGTCGTCATCTCATACACATACTGCCCGATATGCTCCACATTCGACATCTCTGCCGCCTCGACATCCTCTCCAGGTTTTCGGGTAGCGGGCCACATTTCACCTGTGACGAGCTGAAGCTTGTCACTCTTGTTCTCGAGGAGCCTGTTGAAGGCCTCGGAGAGCTCGTAGCAGGATTCGAAAACTTGGCGCCTTCCGAGGATGTAGAGCCCGAGCCGTGCGCGGGAAAGAGCGACAGTCATGCGTCGGATATCACGGAGATATCCGACACGCTTTGTCCGTACCAACGAGAGGATAACATCTATATATCCGTTAGTAAACTGGGGATAAACCACCCTGCCCTAGGCGCTGGAGAACTTACAGTCATTCTGCTCGCCCTGGTATTTATCGACGGTAGTGAGTGCAGCTGGAAGTCCAAACAGGGGGCTACGTGCGCAACGGCGATTCAAAACATCCCTGATAAGTGCTCTCTGCCCCACGTATGTTGTGAGGATAGTGATCTTCTCAGCAGGGTAGCCCAAAAGACGCATGTACTGGTACACAGCGACCGCATATTCTGCCTCCCCGAGATTCTGAATGAAGTGGGGTACAGGTTCCTGTTCCCCTTGGCCTTTATAGTCCTCGACATTGATGAATTGAAATTCGTGTTGAAACCTAAAAGATATGAGTAACCCTACCACAAAACAAGTCGAAAGGAGTAATAAACATACCCAGCATTTGCAGTTTGGTATTCCGGCTCTTGATCCAGCAATGGAAGGTTTCCAAGGTTACCGTAACGCCAATTGTACAATTGTGCGATACTTGGGCGCGCACGACCCTGTTGGTCAAGATTCACTGTGGGCACACCCAGTCTAACCAGCCTGGCGAAAAGACTCTGCTCCAAGTTTGCGTACTGACGGAACGCAATATTCTGAACAATGGGGGAGTTTTGATAATGATCACCGCATAGCACAACTCTCTGCAAAGGAAGCTCCCCATCTCTAGGAGCTTGAAGGGCAAGGGGGATGAACGTCTCCACTTCAGTGATCTGCGCGGCTTCCTCCATCACTACGTTATCATAGTGGAAGCCTAGCTTGACAATATCACCACGCTACAAAGCAACTGTTAGCACATAGACACAAAGGTCTGGCCCGAAGCAATAGAACCCACCTTCATAGCTGCATGGGTCGAAGTCATAGCAACAATCCTCGCCTCCTTGGTAAGCAGATAATTTTGTCTATCCCTGGCAGTCCTCAAAAGCTCAAAGGGTCTGATCTCCTCTAACTCTGAGAACAACCTTGAGATATGTCTATACCCGCCCTCCGCAATCTCGATCATTTCCTCGGCGGTTGCATTGTCTGGGAACATCTTTTCGGGGGCATTGGAAAAGTAGCTGTGGAAAGGAAAAGCCTCGTAGATCCTTTCAGAGGTTATGTCATCACTGGAAATGTCTTCTTGAAATTTCTCCCAGGCTGGCAGAATGTAAACGAGGTTGAAGTAGCCTGCAGTCTCACATGAATCACCGTGGGCGCCAGGAGCACCCATACAAAGCGCCAATCGGTCAACTTCAGCGAGTAATCGAACACGATTATCCTGAGAAAATGTTAGAAGCCGAAAGATAATATAGAACATATGCTAAGCTCACCATAAACGATTCCACTCTGCCTTGCTTACTATAATTAGTATCCGTTTTCAGATCCTCCTCACCATGACCCAGTCTCAACAGATGCCTCTCATCAATGTTTAAAGCAGTAATCTTCTCAAACAACTGGTTCAGCGCTTGGTTACTGTGTGCAATCAACAGTGTCCTCTGCGTCGGGAAGTTGTGGTAAAGATTACTGATAATTTGAGTAGCAACGTCAGTTTTACCAGTGCCAGGAGGCCCGACGATGACGGTAAGACCGGGATTGGTTCCAGATCTGATTGCTTCAACCTGTGCCGGGGTAAACTTGATGTGGTTGGTGCGCGGCTTGTCAACAGGGTAAGGCCCCATGTTCGGGAGTTTATAAGTTGAAACTTCAATGGCATCATTTTCAACAGTCTCCATAATTTCTCTTCTACGTTTCTTAGCTACGGGCCTAGACTGTTCCTGGGATGGCTTATCCGAGAGGACATATGGAGGACTACATCCTTCCTTGGTGCCTTCTTTTGGTTGAAGGTTCTGTAACATCGTTAGCATCAATGATATCGACAATGTATGAGAAATGGGGAACATGCCATTCCCGGGAAGCTTTCCAATAGGTGTTGCCAATCAACGAATGTGTCACGGAAATCAAGGGTCTTGGGACGGTTTGGAAGGTTAGTGTAGTTCGCACCAGCTGGGTCGCCATATCCCAAGAAGACCTCCTGCAGCCAAAGTGGCATAGGAATGTCCGCTTGCGTAAGCTCCTGGATCGACTCCAATACCGGCTTGAAGTTATTCTCCCTGCCCTTTCTTTTGATTAATACATTAATGGAGTCATAGACGTCCGGTTTGCCAGCCTTGATATGATCCGCATCAATCTGGGGTAAAGTGCATTAGTAATTTCCCCTGAAACACCATTACGCGTCAATATAGTGGTGCACATACCCTATACATCTCCGTGTCTAGTTTGACGTGCAATCTACACCTTCCACCTGATCTCCTGACTTGCCCCTCACCACTCCTCAACTGTCGTCCGTCCTGGTCGAGCACTTGCATAACTTCTGCGGCTCTCAAACACTTAATTCCGAACTTCTCTGCAGTGCTCAGTTTTTCTGACCCGCCATTAGTAATCATCTTATCACCCTCATCGATACCCTTCACCGCGAGGAGAAAAACAACATCATCTTGTCGCAGGGTTTCCCAGTCACGGCGAACTTCATCAGAAAGTCGGCTGAGATCAATACTAATCTCCGCGCGAACATAAGCCGGCTTTTCTTCACCGACACGGGGGGGTGCAGTCTCGAGGATTCTGGGACCGTTAGTGTCTCGGAATCAGCCAAAACGAGGGGCGCATACGTACGAAGGTCTGCTGATCAAAAGCGCCATCTTGGAGAATCCATGAAACTGGGTTTGCATGCTTGGGTATTGGAGTTTAGGCTGTAGTCGATGTAATGAATCCTCGATATCCCTTCGGATTGCAAAGAATGCCTCGCATCGGTAAAGAATAAAAGATCTCCACAAGAAGTCGCCTACGGTCAAGTACTGGAGATTGAGCTTTGGGATTGCTAGAGGTCGAGACCCGTCGTAGTACTCGTTTCGGAGAAGAGACGACTCAAAAAGGGTGTTCTGGTTCGGCAGCACGGGAAGCTCTTTAGCTTGCTCTTGAAAGGTCTTTCTCCTCTCATGAACAGCGAGCAGTGCTTCTGTCAAGAATACACGGTCTACAGGCACAGCTACATTTCTGGGGTAGTTTGTTCGTAATCCAAGCAATTGACATAATCTCGCAACCTCTTCGTCGTCTAGCTCTGTAAGATGGGTCGCAAGTTCATCCCTCTGTCCTATACTTCCATAGTTGGCAAGAGCAAGAATGGTTAGCTTGTCTTTGAAATGCTTGAAAGCTGTTCTCTGAAGTTTTGCGAGGTCTGAATTATGATTTTGTCGTGATTCTTGTTGGGAAAGTTGGAGACCAGAATGGTCGTCAATTGAAAAGTTGACATAATGGGCAAGGAGAGCATAGAGATCTCGGAAAAGACCATTTTCCGAATCAGCATAAAAAGGTGACAATTTAATGGCGGTAAGGATGTGAAGATCTTTAACCAAAAAGTTGACATAGCGCCTTGTGGGGAGCTGAGATTCGAGGTCGGTAAGAAGCTCGATAAAGCGTTCGCAATAAGTCAAAGTCTCTAAATCTCAGTTAGCTCGATAAATCTTACGCTTTGAATGGGCGTAAAAACGTTTTAGATCATCTCCCTCTACAGGCTTCCACATGAGGTTCAAAAAATCTAGCATCATCTGGAAAAGCCACATCCTCTCGAATCTCAATCTTGCCTGAGTACTATCATCTGATGCTTCGTAACGTTTCTTAGCTGCTCTCCAAGCTTTCTTTGTTTGGGGATATTTGTCGAATCGTGCCTCCCGGACTTCCTCGGTAGACAGATTGTGCCATATTCCTATCGAGACCAACGGCGCACATTCCTTCCGTACGAGACTGCTGTCCAATGATTGGAATGATGTGACGATGAATGTCAGTAGATGGGTTCGGATAGAGAGTGAAAGGCTGTAATCAATGCACATGGACAGAATACGGCGAAACAGGCTCGAGAAGTTTTCGGGCGAT